CGCACCTCGCTCAGCCAGTGAGCGGGAACCGGTCTGTATGTGGGATCCGAACCCTCGGCGGGAGCTCCGCTGCGCTCCCAAGCAGCGCACTGTAGCAGTGCGCCACCAGGCCGGCCCAGAAAGAGATAAATTTTGAAAAGAAATAATGAATAAGCTTTTGGATTATTTGGTAATCAAGTTAGTAAAGAGGATTATTTGATAATCAAGGTACTAGCTTGATTTGATACTCAACTTAGTAAATCATGAACACACTGAAAAAAGACATGAAATTTTTGCTGATTTGACAGGCAATACCAAAATTGATTAAGATAACACAAAATTCATAATATGCTACTACAAAGCGGGCATTGATAGCAAACTGGGTAATAAGTGTTGTCAATGCAAGAGTATTTGAAATTGGTCACCACTGAAATAAAATGGAAATCCCCTGAAATCTTTTCATTTGCCATATAAAGAAGTAATCAGGGTATGCAATCAAAAATACCCCAAGCATCAGGATACATATTTTAAAACAATATGTTTTACATGATAAGTATATACTATGTTTATCCGTCAATTAAAAATAAATAAATATTTTTTTAATATTGTGTTTTAAGATTAGTTATTTTTACGTTCATTTTTTTCATTCACCCACTCCTTCCTTCTCAGCTGAAGCCACTGTTCATCAAAAGCAGTATCGGTTCACTGTACTCTGGATGCAGACTGACTGCACTGAGGTGAGATCTCCCCTCTGCCTTGCCTTAGGAGATACAGTAAGGTGTGGGCTGGCCGGGCTGGCCAGAGCCAGGATTAGGTGAGATGCACGAGGTGCCCAGAGCACAAAATTTAAGGAGATGCTTACCTTCAGGGTCATTGTCACCACACGCTACATCGCTAGGCAACACAACTGACATTGCAACTTTATCAAGTTTGCAGGAGGCCAGAGCTAGGAGCAGCTTAGCTAAGGTCATTTTCATCCTGCTGAGTTACAAAAATCACTCCACTTCTCCATGATAATGCTCTCTAGCAGCGCAATCTGCTGGATGCCCCAGGTTTTCCTTTCAGGCCTAGTTTTTCCTGATGCTCCAAAGAAATGTAGTGCAAGGAGCTGGTGGGCAGTGGTGGGGGTCTCTGCTATGCAGCCTCTTACGCCCAGATGCTCAGGTCCAGAAATTGGGTTGGATCAACCCTCCAAGAGCTGATGAATCTCTATTCAGAGCTCATGTCCAGTATCACCAGGAACTGTGGGTGTTCTGTAAATGTTTGTTTAATTAAGCAATTAATTAATGAACACACGTAATGTACCTGGTATCAGGGCTGGGTATTTTATATCAGTCATTTCTGAATCCCATGACATTCCTACAATAATTCACACTGTTGCAGCATAATTCACACTGTACAAGTGAGAAAATCTAGAGTCAGAGAAGCTTAAGTGGATTATTCATCAAATGACAGAGTTAAGGTTTAAATGGCTGGTTGTCCAACTCTAAAACACCCACTTTGGTCCTTTGTGGCTCAAATGTGGCTCTTCTCTTGCCGGCAGCCCGTGCCTGGTCTGGGAGGGCAGATTAGCAGGTGTCCACACACAAGTTGGCTGAGAGAAGGATGTCTACTGAGGATGACCTTCCGTCCCATGTCCTTACCCCTGCAGGCCTGAAAATGGTGGAGCAGCCACAGGAGTTGACACCGTCTGCACCCACCGTCCTGGCCCTACAGTCCTTGGGCTGGACAGGGAGCAACTCTATTGGGAGTTGAGCAAGCTGACCCACGGTGTCACCCAGCTTGGTTCCTACACCCTGGACAGAGACCGTCTCTATGTCAACGGTAAGCATCTAATAGTGACAGGGGTCTCCTCCTGACCCCAGGTGGGATCCTGCTGTCTCTGTTGAGCTCTGGCCAGAGGACACATCCCTGTCTACTTCTAGATTTCTCTCTCCTCATTCTTTCTTTCTTTATGAGGTTCCCTTTCCCCACTGAGGGCTAAATCACACACAGAGAGGTGGACGGGCAGGGAAAGGGTATAGGAGGTACCACCCTCCGTCTGGAAGGGAAGAAACCTCCTGACCAAGGGATGTCCCCTCCAAGTCATTCTGTGTGTGTGTGTGTGTGTGTGTGTGTGTGTGTGTGTGTGTGTGTGTGTGTGTGTACAGCTGGCCAGTACAGGGACCGAACCCTGGACCTTGGTGTTATCAGCACCACCTCTAACCAACTGAGCTGATCAACCACCCCCTTGATTTTGTTTTTTGTTTGTTTGGTTGGTTGGTTTGCTAGCTGGTGGCTGGCCAGTACAGGGATCCAAACCCTTGACCTTGGTGTTATAACATCAGCTCTAACAAACTGAGCTAACCAGCCAGCCCCCTCTCAAAGTCATTCTGACATCATCTGTTCTTCCGATGGTCCAGCCTCATCATCTCTTCCTTAACCCTTTTGAACACCCCATCTCACTCTTCCTCTCTGCAGGTTACACCAGACCAATCTTGACCGCCATCCCCAGTGGTAAGTGCTCAAACCCTAGACAGCCCCATGCCTTTACAGCCCCTTGTGGGGGCATCTGGCCACTCCCCTCTAAGTCCAAGGTCTCAAGGCCTCATGGAAGAAGGAAGCCTAGGACCCTGGTGAGCTCCCACCCCCACACCTAGTCTCTGAATCAGGCTGGGCATCGGGTGCCATCTCTGGCATCTCCAAGGTGATGACGATGGATCCTTCCCATTTCTCCTGCTTCCTCCTCAGTTGCTGTGATTTCTGCGCTCTCCCAGGGAACCTCAGCTGCTCCCACCTCCCTATCCAGCACCACAGGTAGGAGCCTTTTCTCCATGTCCCTTTTCTGCTTAGGTATATACACCTCTATGCTTATCAATGAGAAGAGTAAATGAAACATGTACAGGCAAGTCAAGGCAAGGGGACAGTGTGGGGAGGATGAATCTTTGGGACTGCGCCCTTGTCAAGACCAGTCCAGCTCTACCCCTGGATTTGGAGAGCTCTGTGACTCCAGGTTTTCAATCCCAGATTGAGGGTTATAAATCCTTTTAATCCACCCTTTGCTTTCTGTTACAGTGTTGTATCCATTAGCTTTTATTGCATGACAAATGACCCCCTAATTTAGTGGATTAAAACAGTCATTTACTACTGCTCACTAGTATATAGGTTGCCTGGGCTGTTCCTCTGGTTTCAATTAGGCTTCCTCATGTATCTGAAGTCACCTGCAGGTCAGTTAGGTACCTGTTTTTCTAGAGGATGCCTGACCATTGGTTAGGGCACCTTAGTGCTCCTTCCCATGGACTTTTATCATCGAACAGGCTAGCTGCAGTTGTTGATATGGTGGTTATAGGATTTCCAGAAGCAAGAGAGGGCAAGCCCCACCATGCAGTACTCTTCAAGCCTCTGCTTGCATGAAGTTCCTCCTGTCTCGTTGGTCAAAGCAAGTCATGGCCAAGCCAGATCGAAGAGGTGAAGAAACAGACTCCCACCTCTTGATGAAAGGGGCTGCAACACTGTGTTGCAAGAGTGTAGATGCAGGGAGGTGAAAAGTGTGTGGCCGTGTTTACAATTTACACCAGGTGACCTGCCAGGGACCAGCTTGTGACCATGTTGTCTGTCCTCAGGTCTTAGGGGATCCAGGTTCACCTTCTGTTAGGATGGAGAGGAACTAGTCAAGGGCAATCTAGGACTAATTTTCAAAGGGCAGAGACTAAAGGGATTAGCAGAAAAAGTACACATAAATGATAACAACAACAAAGCCATGACAGCAGCATTGACTGAGTGCAGGCCACATACCAGGGACCCCATTAGCTGTGTGATCTTACTCCAGCCCTAGCAGGTAGACACTACTATCTTTCCATTTATGAAAGGCATTATTTTTCCATAATGTGGTTCTTGGGGATCTCAGTGATTTTCTGAGGTCACACAGCCAACAAATGGGTAGAACTCAACCCTAAGTTTCTAGAGCCTGAGCTTCTGCCCTAAAATAGCTGTGTGGCCTTGGGGAAGTGACTTAACCTCTCTGAAACTCATTTTTATCCTCTGTCAGTTGAGGGTAAGTTATGGGACTCACCTCCAGAGATTGTGTGAGGATTACATGAGACAGTGCATAGCATCAAGTGTGGCATAGAGTAAGCTGCTTCTAAATATCAGCTGTTGTTATTGTTACTATTATTATTCTATTGTTAGTGTCTTTCAAAATAAAGTTTCTTATCCTAGGAGAGACATTCTGAGCTCTTGCACTAAATGTGAATACCCTGGGCACCAGGGATGTGGATCCGGAGTCTCCCCCAACTCCCAAATCTAGTTCAACCATGACCCATGACTCAGGATGTGACTTCTTTTCTCCCTATTTCACTGCAGCTTCTGTCCTCGGTCTGGTGCCATTCAGCCTTAACTTCACCATCACCAACCTGCGCTACAGGGAGGACATGCGTCACCCTGGCTCCTGGAAGTTCAACACCACGGAGAGGGTCCTACAGGGTCTGGTGAGAGCCCTGCCAACACCACTCCTGTTCTTGCCTTCTGATGCCAGCCCCACCCACTAACGCCAGCCCTCCCACTGATGCCAGCCCCTCCCACTAATGCTAGCCCTGCTCAGTGGTCCCCCCACCCACCTCCTTGCCCCGCCCACCAGTGTTTGCCCTGCCCACCTTTCTTGCCCCACCCCCATCCCAGCCCTGCCCCTGTCCTGCTCAGACCTTCTATTCCCCTCCCTCTTCTTCAACAGCTCAGGCCCTTGTTCAAGAACATCAGTGTCAGCCTCCTCTACTCTGGCTGCAGACTAATCTCGCTCAGGTGAGACCTCCATATAAGACGGCCCTGCAAGGCATGGTGGAGATTCTTATGCATCGTTCCGTATGGCTGGATGTCCCCCTTGACCTCAACCCTTTCCAGGCCCCAACCTGGGACAGCCACTTCTCCTTGGACCCCTAGTCACCAGTCCCTGCTCTGAACCTTCCCATCCTCCTGAGCCTCAAATCTCCCATGCAGTGTTTCTAAGGGAAAAAATGGCAAAATGTTGGCAGCTCAAAAGTATGCGTCAAACACTTTCATAAAGGATGCATCCCTGATCCTTTACAAAGAACTCACCTATAACCTATAAATACAGTGCACAATGCATATGAATATTCCTGAAGGTTAACACACAGCAAGCAATGAGTATGTGCCAGACGTTGGGGTAAAGGACAGGGGTTCTTGCCATATTGGCACTATTGATATTCTGGGCCACATAATTCTTGTCGTAAGTGGCTGTCCTCTGCATTGTAGGACATTAAGCTGTACCTTGGCCTCTTAATATGCAACTAGATCCTATAGTACCCTATCCCCCCCCCAAAAGTTGTGACAACCAAAAATGTCTCCAGACATTGCCAAATGTCCCCCAGGGATTTAACATCATCAGGTTAAATGCGTCCTATACATCATTTCCCTAAAGTCTTTCAACATCGTGATAATTTTTTCCTTTTTTTTTTTTTTTTTTTTTTTTTGT